TCCGAAACCCAGCAAAGCATAGATCGCTTTTGAACATGCATGGTCTTGCTTCCCGAACAACTCGCTATGCGATGCAAACGTTGAAGATGATCTCTCATGTGCCACTCGATCTTAACTTAAAACCAGCTTTGCTTCTAGGCATGGTGCATCAACAACTTCTCCACCTATCAGTCCACCTGCCCGTGCCCCTACAAGTGCTTTGGCAGCATGTTGGGGCCCATCAATGGCTGATCATGTTCAACTTGTGTGGTTTACAAGTTCAACAAGAACAGCGACAACAAGAATAATGGTGGTAAAGGAACCCGTCTACCTAGCAAACCCTGATGGCTGCCCCGTCAGGCGCTCCTGCTTTGCCAGCGCCGACGAAGCTGACCGTTGATCCTTCGGAGGCATGCAGTGCTGTAACAAAGTTGGTTAGAAATCTGTATAATATGTAACCACATGTAACCTAGCAATATAATATGAAACACATTCTGCCAGCATTGTGTCGGTACAAAAGGGTGTCAGGTTGGTTGCAAATGTGCATGCATGTGTGTTGACTGCTTCCCTCTGGCAGATCGAGACGCAACCATTGGACTACGGGCTTGCTCCAGTTACGGAGGCTGCTGCGGAGATCAAGACTCCAAGCCCTTTGCCATCAAAAGTGGCGGAGGAAACCCCTCCCAAGGCGTGGTCTACCCATAGTGAAGGAAGCACCAATACCTCGAATGAAAAATGCACATATCATATACATGCCTTTTTATGTAGGTTTGTATATGTTGCCGACTTGGTTCGCAGGTGGATCTGCCTGCATTGAAGGTCACCCCTGCCATGCAGACCGAGAAACGTACATCGATGCGGAAGACTATGAAGAGGGGTCGGAAAGCAAAGAGGGGCAAGAAGGGTAAGAAAGGCAAGGGGACTTTGGCGAGAAAGGGTAGTAGGAGGGGGGGTGCTCAAGGCTGTCAAACCAAAGAGCCCAAAGAGTTCTGAGGTGGAGCCTGTTGAACCGGTTGAGGAGCCACCTGCCAGCGCAGGGACAGCCTCAACAATTGAGCCCGCTCGGCGGAAAGTCTGCAAACCTAAGGCTGCAGGCAGGAATGCAAAGGAGGCAGTCAGCAAGTCTAAGCCCAAGGCGAAGGCAAAAGCCTCGACCAGGAAGCCCGCAGCTCCGGCTTCCAACAAAGCTTTGTCAAAGTCTAAGACAAAGAAGCTTACGGTTCATCAAGAGCGGGTGGGACATGGCCGCAGCTGGAGGTATGAGATTTTGGTTGGCCAACAGTTTGGTTGCACCAATTGCCGCTACATCTACCGTGGTTGCAAATCGTGTCGCAAGTCAACCTTCAGGGGTAAGACAGCCGCTCAGTTGAGGGCTGAAGTTGAAGGTGCAGTGGCACCCGTTTCCAATGACGCCCCTGAAGTGGTAGAGGCTTCCAGTTCAAGCAAGAAAAGGAAGAGATCGAAGTAAAAATCACTCTTTGATCTTGGGTGTCCAGGCAACCCGTTTTTGACTTAATATACAGGCTTTGTGTTTGTGAAGATTTGTGGGCCCAAAAAATGAACCAACATGTGCCCCTGCCCAAAGCATCCCCGGTCTGGTCCTGATCAGGTACTGTGCATCGCTTCATCGCATGGTTTCCAGCGCGCCTTGCTAATCGCAGCGGTTCTTGAGCGGTTCTTTCGGCAGGGCAAGCCTTGCCTATTGGGGTTTTTGTGGTTCTTGGCCACATCCGGGGTTTGCCCTCTCTCTTCATATGCAGAGTTTGGCTTCATCAGGTCACGCAGGTCATGGAAAATATAGGCAGAAAAGCTTTGGGTGCTTCCGGATGTGTGCTGGCCACCATGGGGTCACACCGTATTAGGGAAGTCAAGGTTGTGTATGGGCTGCGAAGAAGCCAGCTCCTTCAACCGTGAGTGCAAAACTTGGATCAATCTCCGCTAGCTTGCTCAGGAAAACACAATGAGTGACAGTCGAGATGTTTTCTGAAGTGCACGTTCATGTGTTATGGTTCCCTCTCTCTCTCTCTCTGATGTCGGATGAACCTATGGTGACAGCATCCCAGCTGTATGTTTTGGAACGCTGATGTCAACAAAATGCCTATATAATTTAGTATATATATATGCATATATATATATGTGTGTATATATACAATTATACCTATCATTTCATGTAAACGGCAGTTTTCCAGATTTTTCCAGCAAAGGCTGAATTGGAGGGGTCTGTGTAATTCAACAATATGTGTAAAATTGGCCGATCCTCTCCGATGGCAGGTGTAAGCGCCGTATGAGCGCAGCTTGGACACTCCAGCGGAAGTGTCCGAAGAGGAGTTTGGGCACGCTTCCCCCGCGATTGCTTTTCCAGTTGTGCAATAACCGAAGCGAGTGAGAGTGCATTGAGATTCCTGCATGTCTTTTCATCTTGCAAGTGTGGATTGAATGCATGGCACGGCTGACAAGCGGTTTTTTGGCGAAGAGTCCTTTGAAAGCCTTTTTTCTATGAGACATCCATGCAAAAACGCTACTCTGGGGAAACATCATGAAACATTAACCTTTGAACACTTACTCGATCTAGCCTTTCCGCGATCCAACATGCCGATGCCTGTGGCCACAATGACGAAGCTTCTGCACCAACTTCTACGGCTTGATGCACCTCGGGTTTCTCAGCTTGATTGGTAGTCAACGATGCAAGGACCATGAATTAAGTTACCATGGTCTTACGGATAATATGTCTTCTAAGAAGTTAGGGGCACAAACGAAAGGTGCAATAAGGATTCTTATTTCACCTTTGAATATACTTTGTTCTTGCATGTCCTGTCAACCTAGTTTGATTCCTCCAGGTTCTGATGATGGCCATTGTTCTCTTGTGCTTCACTGAAGGCTTGCCACATGATCAGGTGCCTCAAGTCTTTTTGCATGAAAGGCAACACACATTTAGTCAACTATACGCACCTTGTCACATGCATGCCCCTTCAAACCCCCGAGTCCATCCGGTCAACCGGGCAGGTCTATGACTGCATTGAAGTCTTCTCTGGTGTGGGGACCCTATCCCGGTGCCTGACATTGGCAGGCTACACCACAGCCAGTCTAGATATCGAATTGTGGGAACCATGGGCGGAAGGAAGGAGGTGTCGACGTCTCAAGAAGATGTGCAAGGGTAACCCTTTAGACCTGCTCTCGCCGGCTGGATTTGCGTTGCTTGTATCAATAAATGTACGTTGCTTGTATCACTTCAGCATGCCTTCTACATGTAATGCCTGTTCATACAGACAGTTATTTTGCCGGCATCTGAGATTGCTACTTCATTCCATTCTTCAGTCGAAAGAAGGGGTGGTAGTAGCCTTCGGATTGGTGTGCAGCACATTTATTTCTATATCAAGAGGATCAACGCACAGATCATACTTCTTGCCGGAGGGTGACTTAAACGCACCTTCCGTGGTGCGATCCAACCTTCTCGCTGCGAGGACATTTTCTTCCATGTTTGGGTATGTAAGCTTGTGTTCTCCCAGGGAAACCCTGCATAGACCAGAGTGGGGGTTGGCAGGACGGCTCTGGCCATGTACCTCATTATGGCCAAGAAGGGGGTTTGGGTTTTGGAGCAGCCTCGAAGCAGCCTAGTGTGGCGGTTGCCATGGTTCCAACAACTTTGCAGGTTGACCCGAGTACCCCAACTGCAACATAGGACCGTGTGAACTGCAATTCAAAGAGAGTGAAACGCTTGAACAATCCATTCTGCAGATCCCGTATTGTGAACGCAAGGATTTCTTGCATGGTGGCCTGTCTCAGGTCTATAAGCAATCATTTTGGATGTGTGGACATGGGAGCAAAACGCCGAAAAGGACGACGTTGTGGGCCAATTCTTCGGCTGTCAGGTTTTTTGCAACTGCAAAGGCCGTGCGTGGGCTCGGCAAAACAGCTAAGGGTCCTGCTTTGGTGGATGTTTACACTGATGGTCGCGGTCAACGTCGCTATAAAGGGAATAAAAACCTTCGACCATCTCAGTCTTGGTCTCAGTGTTCAAACTTTAGGCAGTGTGACACCCAAGCTCAACATATATGCACATGCATGTTTATATATGTTTCTGGTTTGAGTTCATATTCTGACCCAACTGTACTCAGGAAATACCCAGTGGGCTTTGGAGTTCGATTTGCACGTACCGTGAAGCAGTTCAGAAAAGAAAGATCACCTATCCTCCAACCACACGCAGCTACTTGATCAAAGCTTACACGCTGCCTTTTCCATTCTGCAGGACTGAGCCTAATCTCCTTAAAGGTGACACCTATTGTAGGGTTAATGGGGGGCCCCTATATGCACATGGTATGGCATCGGAACGCGAGCGAGCTGAGGCTCCCGGCCCCGACAACATTCGAGCCTGCCACGTGATGCCAAGTTTTGATGTTCATGAACTGTGGACAGAAGCCAAAATGGTGGAAGTCATCCAGTATCTCCAGGGGGGGGCTGAGTTTAGCTTTGCCGGAGGAATGGCAGGGCTACTTCCCACAAACTCCAAGGTTCTAGCTTGCAGGTAGGCTCTGTTTACCACTTTGCCAACCCTTTTAAGAAACTCCGTTTTCTGTTTTACGAGTGCATTTTACGTTTTTAAGAAACACACCAAAAATAGTACACAGTGGCAGGAATAGGGGATAGTATACGTAAAAACACAGAAAAGTGGCGTAAAAAACCGTACAAAATGTACTGGTATTTCAATACACTTTGGCAGGTATTGTGGTGAGCCTTAATTCAAAGCGCGATGGCCCTTGATCAACGTTTGGGCCAGCCATGTTCGGAGATTTGAGTGTTCTTTGACGCTTAAACCCACGAAGATCATGAACTCTCGTACGCATGATCATAATTGAAAAGGGATTCTGCATGCAAGATATGAAAGTGTATCCTGACTTGATGCCAGCCAAACAAAACTCTCACATTTGGCTTTGCATGGGGTTCAATGTTTGTTGGACTTGTTGACACAGACCGGTTCAGAGGGTAGCAATCGCCTGTGGCCTAGTATCCTGCAGTGGCTGATCATGGATGAGACGGTGATTGATTCATTTCCAACCCGGCAGTGGTCATGCAGCACGTTGTTGAGGGGGTCCTCTTTCTTGAACGAACAGCTTGCTCGCAATAAGAAGATGTCCTTCGATGAAATTGTGGGAGTAACCTGGCCTTACCAATAAATGAATTACAAACGTTGGGCTCCAAAACCAATGCGCTATCACTACATCCCCTTCTCCCGTCGCATCACAGCAGTATATCACCCTCTCAGGCCGCAAAAGCTCGCCTCGAGAAGTTGAAGGCTGAGAACCAGATTGCCAAGAGCTCGCCTGCCCCGACGGCCGTGGCGACCCCGCGTACACGAGTAGAACCTTCTGAGCACGAGACTGTTTCTTCTGGGTCGGACCGGAGGGTGGTACGCAAAGATAAAATTGAGGAGCTGGGTTCGAAGTGCTCACATTCAATGTTGAGACCTGGTACTTAACTAAGATTTCAATATTCTTCGTCCACTGAACTCTAAGAAGGCTATCCATGCATAGTTGGAACTTGGCATGTCATTTTATAGGATTGATTGATTCAATGATCGAAGCTTTTTCAATGAGTGAAACCCCGTGCGTCCGTGTACCCTCGTGCATGATCTTGGGATCCAATCCCAAATGCATCAGGACAATGCCGGCCTGGACAAGGTTGCCAAAGGTCTGGGTCATGCTCTGGATGAGGTGGGGCATTGTTAGATCGAAAGCATAATATTGAGTGTCTATGGTGGGGACAACGCACAACCCGGGTGATCCAAAATGCACGGAGCCTGTGAGGCTGCCAGATCTATGCCAAATACTCCAGCAGCAAGCGAGAAGGCTTGGCACTTGCGCAGTCCTGTTTCTCCACACATGCCATGATGGAGCTATATATAGTGTCTCATAGGATCAGGTTTATTGAAATTTGGCTATCCATGTCAATACTCTCCCAATGGTGCCTGGCAGGAGCCGAGTGCCGAGTCCAAGAAGTTGGCAGCCCTGACTGCAGCGGTGAGGCGGATTTGCACGCCGAAGGAGGCAAGCGGTAGGCTGGAGGTATCCCAAGAGATTTACAAACAGTGGAGGGCAGGTGGAGCCCAGCGCAAAACCTTGATCGACCTGATGATCAAATGTGGTGGAAACAAGGAGCTAAAGTGAGTTCATTATGCAATCTTCCATTTCTCTATGTTTCTGTGTTGGGTTCACTATTGCTTGCAAGTTTTTTTTGCGGGCAGGATTCTTTCAAGAAGCAAGTTGAGCATATCCAGAAGCAATCCCGGAGAAATAAGCTCCATGTGGAGAAGGGGTGGTATACAAAGGCTGCCATGAAGACCGAATTGAAATGGAGCCCGTCTGAACCCAAGCTTTTTATAAAGTCTGAATCAACTACATATATCAGTAACATATTTATTTGTATTCTTTGTTGCACCCATATCTCCTTCTACCCCACCCATCCTTCGTTGTCTCAGGTAACGTATCAAAGCTGCGGTTGCCTACTGTACCCATCCATCCCGGGTCAAGACCCATGTCAGGCTGGCCCGACTCGACCGCTAACAAACTTGCATGAATTTGTAGCCATGTTTGAACTTTTTGATGTGTTTGCTTTCAACCAGGCGTGACAAGTATCAGCCAACCATCAAGGAGTACTGGGTTGATGTGGCAACAACAGGGAGCTTTGAAGAGGAACACGAAGAATCCTTGACAGATCGCACCACGGGTGAGGGTACCGCTTGCAGCCTGAACCTGGGCCTTCCCGCAAATGAACTTGCCAGCCCAGGCCACGACCCTGCAGGAGAAGATACAGACCGCGAGATTGAGGAGGACGATGATGGATCGACCGTTCACCGAATTCCCGGCAGAAGTGATGTTGAAAAGGAATCTGCTCTTGAGGCATGTCATGTGGAGAAAGCAACATTATGTCAGTATGTTCATACTTTGGAATGAATACTTTGAATTGAGTATCATCTTTGCATGTTCAACCTTACTCGCAACTTCCGCCTGTGAGGCCGTAGACAATGTTTCCAACGTCATCACTAACCTACTCAAGGTTCAGACCAAAATGGAGGTCCTTTCTGAGAAGCTTTCAGCCTTGAAGACTAGTGAGGCTGAAAAGACACCCAGCTCATGGATTACAACTATATAAATATATATTATACAAATGAAGTGCTTGTCGGAAAACATATAGACCTTGTGCTATGTCGTTTACCTAAGGAGCAAGACCAAGGTGGATGCTTTCCGGGGCACGCTGATGAAATATCATGATGAGCTCGCCGACTTGAAGTCCTATTTTGATGGGCACATGGATGATGATACTATGGACCAGTCGACTCTTCCCTTCAAAAAGCATGGTGGTTTGACAACATATAGCACTTTAAGCGTAAGCGCATGGTGTCAACACTTTCCATGATGAACGATTCCATTCCTGCACGCCGGCCTAGGAAGGTGAAAGGACTTCGGACCATTGTCCAGAAGATCGAGGTTGAGCCGCAGCCTCAGATCGAGCTCGCAGTGACCACAAGCTGTCATTCCCAAATCGGTTTTGCCATGTTTTAAACATAGATAGCGCTTGGTTTGCTCAGTGGCGCATTCAGACCAGTGCAAGGCCTCACAAAACATCCAACTATTGCCCCAAAAACGTTTCAGAACTTGAGCTGCCAAGTTTTGCACCATCAGGTCTTCCAGGGCCATGATGGAAGAGACGAAACTGAAAAAGTCCGGCGCCCTGATCATCGCGATTACTCACTATTGTGGGTCAATCTTACGGTCTATATTCGTTCCACGAGCGTATCATTTTTGATATAACCACGCTCAGGACTCTTCTGAAGCCAGTGAAAACGGAGAAGGCCTCTGGTTCAGGTTCCACAGCTCCCTCAACGAAGGGAAAGGGGGCTCCCTCGACGAAGGGCAAGGCGAAGAAGGGAAAGGCAGCGAAGGCAAAGGCAAAGCCCAAGACCCGGGGAACCCGGGCCAGGGCTGATGCTAAGTCGCCGGGCGGTGATGCAGAAGAAGGCAATGAGCCTTGCGGTCGGGCCAAGAAACTCCGCAAACGCTCTTGAGGTGAGACATGGTTGGTGAGATCACAGCATGTGTGCCCCACAGCCTTGCTCTGTTCCGTCAAACTCATGTGCAGGTGAGATATGGTGAGATCAACGGTGATTGGCGTCTGATCGTATTGGGGGACACTGTGGGAGAAGCCACTGACCTGAGCTTTTGTTTGTGTGTCTGGGCGTGATGCTCTAGCCACGCCAGACACGTTTCAGTGCTTTAGCTGCCCTTCTATGCAACAATAGTTGAAAGGACCGTTTCCGTTGTGGAGCCACAACCCTAACCTGTGTATAAGGTCAACTCATGTAGAAAGCATCTTGTTTTGTTGATGGGGCTGCTTTCGCAATTCGATGAGTTACACCGCTTAGCATGGCTTTGGTGCTACAATGACATCATGCCACGATGGAAAAGAGATGCAAAAACAGGTTCTCTTAATAATGCATGCATGATTTCCCACTTTAAGATCCTATCCCAGCGCAGGCCTGCTGCAGGAAGAGAAACGCGCCAGCTCATCCAAATCCACTGGTCCTGCCGCAAAGGCTCTTGCAGCAGCAGTTTCCAAGGGAGAGCCTTGTTTCACAGTTCAATGGTTTTCTATGGGGGGCGCTTGGAGACCTATCATGAAGGCATCCCTTTCTAAGGTGTTGTAGGTATAGCTCCTTGCGTTGGATAAGGGTAGCAACACTTGCTGTATGCGTGTGTTATTGAGTGTATGGATGTATATGTATATTATGTGTATCTAGAAGTGCAAATCCCCGTTCGCATGTACCACACCCTAAATGGCTCACACTTGTCTGTCCTAGGTGACAGAGAAAGATGCATGTGCGCTTGCGCAAGCTTTTTGGAATGAGTTCTCTCCTCTGTTGGAGCCTGGTGCTAGGCCTCCTAGTGCAGAGTTTCTATCCGTTGCTACTCGGCTGGCTGATACTGGGCACGAGAACCGTTTCACGGACGCTTGCTTGACAAAATTTGGACTCTCAGCCAATATTGAAATGAGCTATTACAAAATCAAAGGGCTGAAAGACACGCATCCTGTGCTCCCCATCGCTGCTACACTTCGGGCGCTGGATGCCAAGGGAAAGCTTGATCTTCTGCTTATGGGCCATGGGCCTTCAACTTTCAACGCATTTTGGGACAAGTTTTGGCTACTGCAGAAGGGTCATCCGGTGTTCGAAAACCACCACGGGCGCTTGGGGGATTGCATCCCTATCGGCGTGCATTGTGACGAAGGCACGACTTTGAAGAAAAAATCAATAATGTTGATCCAATGGCAGCCTTTGATAGGCAAAGGGAGCCGGAAGCGAAAAGGAACTGCAACAGACCCTGGGGTCAACATGCTTGGCGACTCTATCACATCAAGATTTGTGTGGTCTGTGATGCTCGCGCGGCTGTACGCAAACACCAAAGGGAAAGTGAAGAACAAACCACTTCTTGATTTGGTGAGCTGTTTGTCGGAGGAGCTTTCCAGAGCCTTCTACGAAGGTGTCCGCTTGCAGGAATGTGGTCGACGCTTGTACCTTGTCCCACTTTGCCTCAAAGGAGACTGGCCAGCCTTGGCCAAGATCGGGACGCTAACAAGACACTTCGGCAGAAAATCCGATGCAAAGCCGGGCCATGGCATATGCCATTTGTGCAGAGCAGATATGGAGGGCTTCAAGGACTGGCACGATGTCAGCTTTGCAAATATGCAGGCAATGCGGGAAGATTTGCCGATGCCATGGCTCAAAGAGCCCACAGTTGTTGCAGCGGTTCCCTTGCCCCAAGCATACAAACCAGCTTATTTCAGGGTGGATGCATTCCACACACTTCATAAGGGTGTGCTCGCTGACATCGCGGCGAATTCCATCGTTTGTGGGCTTCGCACAGTATAAGTCATGATGTTTTAGTCTTTGCCTATATATAGGTTGTTTGCATCATATATTAGTAAAATGTCTTTCTAAAGGTTCCCTCTCGAATTCCCCCCCGATTTCACCGGCTCATCGCTCAGGTATGCTGCTATGACTTCGATTTGTATGGGCCTGGGTCTTTCGACTTTCAGATCGACAATCTTTTTGAGGATTTGAAGGCGTTCTGTGTTCGCAACAGTCTGCAACTCCACATGAGTGGACTCAGCCGCACTCTGCTTGGTTTTGCAACATCAAGCGAATATCCTGCTGGGACGCTTTCCTTCAGTCACCCACTTTTCACAGCTTATCGGGTCGGGTCTTGTTGAATTTCCCAGTCTCCCTCTAACCGTGACTGTTTTGCACCTCACTCACGACCAAGGAACTGGTTCAAGGGCCAAGATACGGTGACCCTACTACTGTTTCTGGAGCATCGGTTCGAATCTGCTGTGAGGGAAGTAGAGCCACATGTGGTGGCATTCTTTCAGGAGATGTTCAACACCATTAAGGCCGCAAATGTTTTCTTGAAGTCTCTGTACCGTACAGCATTGTGGCTGACTTCTGAGGAACGAGATTGTTTGTTGAAATCTGGTCATGAGTGCATACGAGGCTTCCAGCAATGTGCTGAGAAAGCCTTTGAACTTGAACTTCCCCGCTTCAAGTACCAAACGAAGCTGCATATGTATGGTGAGATCTTGTTTGGCCTAGAGAATGAAAGGCACCATGGGCAACCATCTTTGTCCCCTTTGGTCTTTGCCACCCAGCTAGACGAAGATCTAGTGGGGAAGGTAAGTAGCATGTCAAGGACCGTCAGTGTGCGCACTGTCCACACTCGCACTCTGGCGAAATATCAACTAGCATTGGCAGCTCGGTGGTGAGGTGATGCTATTTGACCCTTGAGTACATACAACGCGAGGACAGAACCCTGTTTCCCTTTCAACTACCTGGCTGTCTCCTTCAGCGGCCGATGCCCATGGCAAGGCAAATGTTCGCGACCGCTCTTTGAAAAGAAACGGGTGGAAGTACGTGGAAGTGTTGAAGAATGGGTGGAAGTGGAGCTGGGATGGGTGAAGTGTTGGTTGGAGTGGAGCCTACTCATGTTTTCATGATCTTTCATAGCACCTTCTAATATCTCATGTTCAGGAGCCAAGACACAGCTAAGATAAAACCGTGCACTTTCCATGGTTCACTATTTTAAACGCACACCTGGTTTTCCAGGTGAAACAATCATGGAAGTGGACAGTGGCCCCTTGGAAGACGATTTTCCTCTACCAAGAGGGGGTGAACTCCACTTGCATGATTGTTGGGAGGGTACTTTCTTTTGACCACTGTAAGAGGTAGTAGGTAACACACCCTAACGCCCTATGGCTGTCAGTCTGCTAGTTTGTGTCTTCTTTCTCTACCAGTCGTCTTCCCCGATCCTCTCAGAGGAACTGGTCTGAATCAAACCAACCGATAGCCGCCTTCCTTTCGCGCTTGCGAACGAGAAGATTCTCCGTACTACATTGCGGTTGAGCCGGAGAATAGCAACCTCCGGCGTAGCCCAGGTGGATAGAAGCAGCTACGTAACATCGGTCCATCCAATTCTGGACAGAGTTTGAAGCCACCAGCGGGTGCAACCCCCCCATCTTCTCATAGATGTCACACCATCCAATTCCCCCCCAACACCATCCAGTTGGGATCTGGAACAGTGACATACATGGTCAATCAAAATGGATATCAATGGAGTCCACATGAGCATACAGTCTGGACTAATTCCATGAAGTTTCCTAATTCCATATCAACATGGAGTCAATTCCATGGACTGGGTATACTCATTCCTATGGATATGATGTCACCAATTCCAGTCCCCATGGATTCCATCTCTGTTCCATGGGCCGCATCCGCCGGCGCCTCCGCCAGCAGCGCTGCCGGCCGGCCCTGCAGATCCCGGTAGGTGAAGAGCAGTCGACAGGTCTCCACGAAGGAATCCGACGTGTTCCTCGGAGTCGGAGAGTCGGCCCGGGCTCCGCCGAGGTGATTGAACTCTTAAGTCCTCCACCGTTTTTGCCTCGTGGTTTCTGGGAATGGGAAGGGGGAGCTAGAGGGGAGCTGGAGCAGGATTGCTTCTTTTTCTGCGAAAAGGCTGGATTGGTTGAATCAGGTGACTATGGTGACTGTTCTCAGTTCTCCGAAGAAAGAGGGTGAGTTCATAATATGCGTAAGGAGATTGGAAGACATAGGTGGCATGGCATCATGGTCAACTCTCAGATTGTGGGGTATGCATAGAAGGAAGATGGGTTTGCTAAGAAGATATACATATAGGTACAATCCTCGGACCTGGGACTATCTGCAAGGGGTGGTGGTAACAAGCACACCAAGTCGGGTACCGCCATGCCGCAATCGCCACCGCAATTGGAAAGCATATTACACCTACTCTTGTGACAATTCACGGTCCATCATCCATCAACAAAGGTCTCCCCACCAACATTCATCATTGACCCAACACGATCCCATGATCTAGAGGTCATCACAATGGAGACTGCAAGTCAATCCAGAAACAACTCTTCATTTCTGAGTCACATGTTCACATCTCTTCACTCTACAGGAGCAAAAAACACACTGATCTACTACATGTCACTACACTCCTCCGCCTCCTCCTGTACTACACTCCTCGGTCCGACTCTCTGACCCTCAGAGAAGTTGAAGCGCATCCGAGCGTCTTGTGCAAGTTGCTCACTGCGATCCGTGCGGCCAAGGTGGAGAAGTCGGGATGCTTCTGGGACCTCGGTCGACGGAAGAAGCAGCAGGCGGGGCATAGGGCGCCCATGGGACCGGCATAGCTATATTCCAGTCCCATGCATGGTCTGGGCATGTTGGTCTCGAAGAAATGGGATCTTTTCAGCGCATTGATTGAGTGGGACGAGTGCTTTTTGAATGGGATCCGAATTCAGGGCTCCAAGTGGACACTCATTATCGGGCCAACCCTGATTTGACTGACCTGCTTGATCCGGCTTGAAACCGCGCGATCGATTGTGACGGATTGTAGCACCTATATATATATATATATATGACTTTTAGGTTTTTGAAGATCTACTACTGCGAAGGTCTTTAAACCCGTCCAAAAGGGCACAAAGGAGGGCACAAAGGTCATCTTCTAAGACTCAATGTAGTTCCCAGGCAGGCAGTGGCAGCCCGAAAAAGAGCCACTCATCCGAGGGTCGCGTGTTCGACCATTCTAAAAAGTAGAACAATGACAAGGGGATGTCAGGTGGGCTGTATAGCATTAAAAAAGTGCTTTCTTTGCCCAAGGAGATGCTACAAACTATATATCAGATTATCAGTCAGTTCTCAACATCAACGGAAGAAACCTCCAACAAGGGAAACACATGGAAACACCATGGTAGAACAACTTCGTTTCGCATCTCTTTAGAGTCTCCGAAACATCCACTCCGCAAAACGTCTGGCGACCTTTCTGCGTCGACAGCTGCCGCGGCACATATAGGCGCAGGTTTCTGCTGCCAGTCGATCCACCTCTGCTGTGGTGATCCCCTGGTAGAAGCCCTCCACCACCTGAAAATGATGATGATGAGGATGATGATGAGGATGACGATGTTGATGAGGAGGAGGAGGAGGAGCAGGAGCAGGAGGAGGAGGAGTTCAAGATGTTTTTCGGGATTGCCATGGATTCGTCTGACTTCTTAAGTTCTTCAGACGTTGAGTCTGAATTTGATGAGTTGTCAAATATCGGATGCTGTTGCTATGAATGTTAGATAGCTTGTGACAGGGGCGGGTTGGGTTGTTGGGTGTTCTTGGGATCGGATCAGTTTCACCGGGTTAGATTACAGAATGGTTGGGCCTGATAGACCCACTGGGCTTCATGAGGTAGGTGAACACTGCGCGTTCAGTGCAGGGCTGTCAAGATGGACTGCGCGTTCCTGATGCGTCAAGATCATGGTCCATGAGGGGGTCCTTCTTACCAGGAGTGTACCCGAGTGTACCCCGACCGTTAGGAGCATCCAAACAGTTATATAAACATTGGAGGCTGCAACCAAGAGCACTATATAGTTACCTGAAAAGTACACAAATGCAAATATCCAGCTCAAACAAGGATGGGTTCTATAGCTGGTTGCTGTCTCTGCAGCCAGTTTGGTCACTCACTCCACAGCCGGTCCGAAGTTTCGGTGATCGGGCCGAAGTTTCGGTGATCTGGGCCCTGCAAAGGAGATCTGAGACTGTTAGCAAGGGGTACTTGCATAGGACACAGGTCTGACAACCCCATGGCCACCTAACAGTAGGCCACCTTCCTGAACAACAGTTCAGACAAGTTGGCAACATGACAACTTGAAGCCCCGCAAGCCACACAAGATGTCCCACACAAGATGCGTGACATCAAACCAACATGCCTTGAAAGATTAACATGGAACCTGAAAACAACCGTATTGTAAAGAAAAATTCGCCCGCACCGAAGGAACTGTCTTTGATTTCTTCAACTGATTAAAAACGAGCAAAGAGAAGCACATGTAAAAACGAGCAAAGAGAAGCAAATCATTGGCGGTGTTAGTTATGCTTTGCGAGCGACGTAGCATTGTTGACATCATGTGTACTTGCCCTGTGGCCTTCCCGAAGAGAAACGATTAAAACTATTGATCATGTTGAGTTACGTTGCCCGACTAACAATGCATTAATTGAAAGCATGCGCGTGTTTGCACCTGCGTCGTCGATATCCAAGACGCAACGTCTCAGGGATCAGTCTTCGTCGCGAAGCTGCTGTGTGAATAGTCTTCCAAAGGCTCCATGTTCTTGTTCCATCGGGCATACATACTGTACTTATTGGACCAGTCACACTTCAATTCCTCGATTTGTCTTTCAAATACTTTGCTGCTCTTGATCTCTCAGCATTGCCAAAAAAAAGGCCTTGGACGTCCCCAGAACCGATCGCGCAGTCCAGGCAGATCGCGCAGGAGGCCTTCTGTGTGATCAGCACGGGATTGATAAACTGCATGTCCAAACCCTGTCAGAAGAAGGAAACAGAACTCTCGAAGAAGAAAAAACAGAACCCTCTGAGCCAGTGGAAGAAAAAAAGAACACAGAACTCTCTCTCTGGTACTACTGTGCGTTATGTGTATGTATCTGTATGTGTCATAATGTTCAGAACTGCCGTGAAGCTGTCTAATTTCAGCAATGTACGTGTCACTGTGTACAAACAACATCAAATAGCTTGGCAGAAGAGTTATATTTTGGCCAACTCGTTGAGTTGTGAGGAGAGCTGCAATCGCCCCCCTGAGGTCGGTTTGCACGTGGAACATGCCAAGAGCCACTGTTGAATGTCCTAAGAAAGCCAACTTGTCTAGTCTGGCAAAACTTGATCCACTTGAAGATGCCTCTTGTTAGGTTCTAAAAGAGAACCACTTGGTTGTATGATTGAACATGTTGACCAGCAGTTTATACCTATATTGTAGATTAGCAGGGAAGTGGTTACTAGCTAAAGATTGAACTGATATTTTGTCGTCTGGTAGACCACACTTGATCGTGTTGGTGTGGTCCTGCGTTGGCAATCTGCGATTCCTAGCCTATAGTATAGTACTGAATTATGTATTGGCAACTGGACAATGAATCAGCAACATGTGACGTGTCAAGTGTTAAATAGCTAGCTTTAATATTGGATCTTCCAGAGACTCAGTTCCAGTTCAACCAAATCAAGCTAAGGCAGTTCGAGTAATCACTTGTCAACATTTCTAGGAGAACCCCTCCTGGCAAAGGGTCCGAATGCGCTTTGTGATGTTGTCGAACTTCACCTCCTCCGCGTGTGAAGAACAAAGAAGCTGCAAAGCACACCAGCATATGTTCAGACTTTGGGGTCGTAATTGAAGTTCTTCTCTGCCAATAGTGGGTCCACCACTTGGTGTTTCTGTGTTTTGAACCCCGACTCAACGTTCATTAGAAAAAGCTGCATATCCCAGGCTTCCGTGGATGAACGTTGGTGAGGGTCGGATTCACCCAAAAAACGTCTATGACAAGTCGCCTGAAGCGTTACCATCCCAGCAAGGGTCGGGAAACAACATAAATAAAACGACAGGAATCCCACATGGCGCGTTGTTGGGGGAGTGATGGAGAGATCATGGAAATTTGATCACCAGGGAACAACATGGAACAACCATGATATAAATCTCTTTAAAAAAACGCACACCCAACCACGTTGCTCCCTGGTAATCAACATTTCCCTGATCTCTCCATCAAATCGGACCAAGCATCCAAAAAGACCTCTTTCCTGATCGATGCATGTCGTCCCCCCAAGTCTCCGTGAAGTCTCGTGGATTGAAGCGGAAACACAAAAGGCCCCAAGGTACACAACATTCACTTTCAAGGGAGAACTCGACCCTGGAACATGTTCGTGGCAGGGAACCTGCAGTCTTGTGGGAAAATCATTGAACTGTATCATCAAGAAGATCTGTTGTGATTATTAAGAAACACATGTGCTTCTGTGGGTGGCCTGGTCTTCCAACCGGAAACAGCTGGGCCAGTGAGCAGTCAAGCAAAGGAACCTGGCTTCAATATCTGATGAGAATTTTGCTTGGTGATGCCCATGAGACCTACACCATTGAGAGATCCACGTCCAGCTGCCAATCAACCACTGATCAGAGGGTACAGCAACCGATGGCTCCCAAAATTCATTTGAAATGCAACTGGGACACACTAGCTGGGATGCAACAGGGCGGGACAAAGAACAGAAGACAATGTCTTTAGCCCCTCTTGCATTCAACTCACTCATGGTGCCTTTGGAGAAAAATTCCCCTGAAAAGCTCCACCAAAGAACACACGTCCTTCCAACCGCCATCTCATCACTCAACTGCAGGACCCTGCCGCACTGTTCCATCACTGTCGCATCACTCTCCCCCACATCAACCCGCATGGCGACAGTCACTACATCGTGGTGGCTCGAGGCCTGGGTCTTCCCATTTCGTTTCACCACGTACATCGCCATGGACTTCGCAGGACCTGAGCAGCTTGCTCCGGAACGCCTCCGATCAAGCAACTTGTTTGGGAGTGTCCGTACACACTGGAGTAATGGACCTCGCGATACCAAGCTCCAAATGCAACAAGATCTTGAAGTTCGTCCGAAAAGAACGAGGTCGGAACGGTTGTCGCTCGCCAAAAAAACAAGATGATTCTCTAGCTCCCTGGTAGATGTACCTTTTATTGCTTGAATTTTATTGCTTGGGGCGTTTTTCAATCCAACCATGACTTTTGCGCCGGGTCCCAGAATGACCCTCAAATTTGGAAGCGGTCGAAGCTGGGATTCAGCCACTACCTGGTTCTCCCTACAAATGGATGTGTCCATAAACCACCACCTGTTATGTCCAGGATCTCAAGTGCCTATTGGAACATGGCTGGGCTGCACCCGAGCCGCCAAAGGCTCGACCCAGTCCGAGCCACTCGCGCCCACGTGGCACCTCTGGGAGTTCATCTAAGAGCCAATGCCAAGGATGGAAAGTGAGATGAGCAACTGGACGCTTTCCCAACATCCCAACTAGACAGTTCTTATAGGTGCAAAGAACATTAAGCAGCCTATTCTTGAAACTAGTACGTATATCTTGCTGACGGCAAGAAGGGTTCCAGGTCAAGTTCTCCGCGTGGATGCTAAAGGACTGCACTCATGGTTCCAAGGAGGTCTGTTCATTTCTAGGTGTCCCCCCTCGTTGAAAACATAAAAAATACCAATGATCTCAGTTGATACTCTGGCTTCTGTAACATATTCACAGCTGCAGTGTTCTCTCTATGTAGAAGCTCAAGCTCTTTGCCATGTCCAGTGTCGACCAGTGGTTTCATCCTTCTCGAATCCCATGGACACCTGACAACCAGAAAGCAGAACACATCAACATTCTAATGATTGTTTGCATGTACACTCCCTGGAACTAACATGGAAGTGGAGAATGGCCCGTTGGAAGACCATTTTCCACTACAAACAGCTGGTTTTCCACTTCCATGTTAGTTCCAGGGAGAGTACGCTTCGTGTCCACCTGCACCATCTGGAGTAGCTCTTACAACAAAGAGGGAACCTCCACACAAACAGGTACATGTGCCCATGGTCCAGGGCACAAACTGGATAGACACGGATACCAGAACAAACACCTGGGATTGAACATCATTTAATAATCTGAACCAGAAGAAAAAACAACAACATATCAACCAGAAAGTGGATTCCCCAATAAGCAATACCAATCCGAGCTGTGGTCGTAGGAAGCCAAGAATCATGTCTCCACATGTCTTCCATTTGGCTGAGACGGTGATGTGACCCCACAACATTCCTCAAATATTACTGGTAGAAACAACACTTTTTGGGTCACTTCATGGATGCTCCCCAATAGTGAAATGGCAAAGCATCACAACACCCATTACAACAACAAACGATGAACCAACCTTTTTGGTGGTGGATGCTCCCCCCCAAACAAAACAAAATAACACACCCACCAAGCCGATGAGTGGTACACCCCACTTGGAAAGGTTCGAAAGCCCTGTTGTAGCAGCTGACCGCAGCTATCCTTTCTTGCAACGAGCCAAAACACATGAAAATTATAGAACACGGTATTTCCGAAGATGTTTCCCGCTCATGAATTACTCGACTTCGAATGATGGACAAAAAGAGAAACGATCCGATACATGTTTTCAGTTGTTTTTTTCTCCAACCCCCAAAAAGAAGCATCCTTTATCACTGTTCAGCATCCGTTTCACATCTTTTCACCATCCTTTTCATGAAAAAAACATCTGTCCACTCTGTCCACCATTTCAGCATCCTTTTTCACCTGCTCCGGGTCTCCAGGCCCGTTGGCCCAGAATTCTCGCTGCTTGCTGGAGATGCCCGTTCCATCGAGAAGGGGGGGCTGGGATTGGGATAGGCTTAATGGTGACCCCCAATAAGAGTATTCTTAGACAGAATCTTCCAGGAATTTGTGCAGGTGAATCAAACTTTTCTATCTATCCTTCCGGGCAAACACTCATGGAACAACCCTCAAATTGGGACTCCCCTTTAAGGGTGAGACTTACTCTTTGTTTGCGGCATTTTCCCTTGAGGTGGGGTGCTTGCAGGACTATGATTCTAGCATTTCCCTGGTTGGGAGGATACAGTAAGTGGTTTTTGAATTGCGGTAGAACGGACAAATCCTCCACTGAATTCCATCTTGGATTCAGCAAAGGTAGCAAACGGCATCCTACAAATGGACGCGGAGGACAGACTCTACAGAACGTCTACCTGCCTAAAGCCTGAAACCCTTTCTACCATGAATGGTACGCGTAAACACAAAACCTGGTTGTTAAAGCCTGGGGAAAAAAAAACACAAAACGTAACCACATTGTAGAGGAACATGTTGTGGCACCTTGGGTCTTAGCTTGGTTTATCTGAGTCTCTCTGTGTCTTTAGAGGGACATGTCCTGTGCGTTTTTGAAAGGTCCCGGGATTTTATCAGTTTCTAACTCATCCTAGATACATCACACTCATGTAATAAACTTGTCCAATCTTGTCCACATCGCAAACATGTGATTGGTATGGGATACTCTCAAGCTATCTGAAGCTACATGGGTGTGTTTAATAGGGAGACCCGCTGGTCCAATGGGTAGACTGGTCTATTTCCCGAAGCTTCCATGAGGTCGTTGCCTGGGAGGTCTCACTATTTTTTGCTTTCCAACATCTGTCAAGTTGCCCTTACTGCCTTACTGCATCGTGGCTACATCATGGTTGCTACGTCACCTATACATATGTCTCCGCAGGTAGTGCCTTTCGTCCAGTCCTCAGGGGGTCTCCACTCTCAGGCAAAATACATTGGCCCAACGGTCGTCCATGCAAATCTGCGGCGCCGGCAGTTGGTTTGGAAGGCAAAACAGTCTGTTCGAAAGGGGTTCGAGCTTTTCGATGTGTGGTTATATAATTTGCCTGCGATCTGCAAACTGCTTGAAAGTCCGAAGGTGAACATCTGGGAAATTGGCCTCGGTGTGTGAGAGAAAACCATCCAAAACACGGCAGAACGTCCGTCTTCGACTCTGCTTGGCAGCCAAATTAGTTTCAACGTATCTCATGATCACTTGAAAAGCCTTTACGGTTCGTCAGCATGCAATCTCACAATAGAGCCTTCCCTACGAATCAAGGACCCTCAAAGGTTGAGGTTATGAGGGTCCAAACCCCTACTATGTGGGGTCAACACCCTCCATAGATAGGAGGGTCCAATGATGGTTAGGGTTGCTTAATGTCGCTTATATGCACACCCTCTTAATATACGAGTATGAATGACATGAATCAGGCTGCGCTGTCTACATCTCCAAATCACCTTTCTTCTGACTCCCATATCCTTGGATCAACTTATTCTAGTGACCTTGCACCAACGAAAAAAAGAAACCCAACAAAGCCCATGCCATCATCCTAGAGGTTAGTAGTCTCCGTGCAGGTTGCAAATCTCCTTCCGTCTCAAATCCGTCGCAGTTCATTGAACTTGCAGTTCCTCCGTCTCCAATCGGCAGTGAAACCAACCGTTTCGAACGCCAGGATCGGACCCATCCAACGCGTGTGGGTGCTTGTCCTTTGAAAGGGTGCTTGCTAGTAATGATTGGCTTCATCCCTGGCTTGTCCCCGAATCACTCTAGAAGAGCTCCTCCCGCCTTCACACGTATAGATCCTAATGGTATGACCTCACTCTTAATGGGAAAAAACATATCGACATACAATGACATACATATCTCCTCCCCCCAAATAGCAGCACAACATGTCGCCTCCCCACGTGGGACGTGCGACAGCGAAGCCGACCTCAAAGCACCGCACAGGTCTTGGATTTCACCGGCGCTGGACACCTGGAGCGGATCACCTGGCGGACGGGGTCGACTCCACAGCGTGCGTCTGCGTGCGTCTGCGTGCGTCTGCGTGCGTCTGCGTGCGTCTGCGTGCGT